TTAATTATCACCCCCAGATGATTTTGAGTTAAAAATATTGTTTCAAGTGTAATTTTGCGTTTATTCCAGTTTGTATTGGTAGTACAAAAATGCCACAGACATATATTTTCTGTTTGAATATGTTTAGTATATTTTAAATTGAATTAAAGAAATGAAAAAACAAAAATTATGAAAGTAGTGAAAATGCATTGATTGCATCCCTTGTGAATCGAAGAATGTAAGTCATTGTAATAATTGGTTATAAAATATTGACAAAAAAAAATTCTCTATTGAAAGTCAGATTTAATACTTCAATTTTTTTACTTACTTTTCACCACTTCAATTCATAATTTTATTTGAAATGATATTAAATCATGTCTGGTGTGTACTACCGTATAGTGGTATAGTGGGCAATGGGGTAAGCCCTCCAGGGGTCATATTGGGGTAGAACATTTTAGCACTCCCGAGTTTAAGACTGAATGTGCGCTTAAAAACTTAATTATTCTGTAAGATGACTTCCACCATACTTAAATGTTTCTAGCATTATTGAAATATAAAACAATCAATGTGTCTGGTGGTGAACAATACATGATACAACTTTTCAAATGACGTGTAAAATGAGGATTTTTTTTAAGATTTTCTATTTTAATAAGTCCAATAATATGTCAATTTCATCATTTTATTTTTAGTTTTGTGATACACAGTATTATTGATATAAGTTAGATGATTCATTGTATCCATTGCAATTGCAGTAGTTTAATTTAACACTGGTAACAGTATTAACACTGGATTGTTGAGAAGCAATTTATGATCATTACAAACTCAAGTTTTGTAAATAAAATGTTGTTGGAGTAAGTCTAACAAGAAGATACTTCCAGAATTATGAATTTCAAAATTTGTATATCAATAGAACTTTTATTTTTTTCAATGTTGTGATTTTGGCAACTGGCTATAGATTTCTCATAACTGTAAACAAATAAATATGTTTTTTATTAAAATTAATATTATATAAATAGAAAAATGTAGATAGGTAATAATGTAATATATACTTTGTCTCAAATAAGAGTAATCTCGAGGAACTGGATATGATTAGCAAGCTCTCAGAGCCTTGCTCCAAGGAATGTCACTTGATTTTTCTAATAACCACCTAGCAAAACCTGTTAATTATACAGTAACACAATTTTTGGTCAGCGGCCAAATTTTGGAAATGAAAACTGACTTTCCCCTAGCACATGTCCACTCCAATCCATAAACAGCCTCATGATTTGGCTCTCATTTCCAATGTATTCTATCTTAGCTCATGGACTGAACCAGATAAAATTCGGTTGCTGACTCAGGTTACTCTTATTTGAGACAGACTATAGGTACATTTTAACCTTTCGGTTAGGGTTTATAGATGTTCAGCTTAAAATAGGAATTGATACCTTATATTTAAATTTTTTGGTCCAAAACAGTGCTTCTCTGTATTTGAAACACCGCAACCCAAATATTTCTTAGAACAGTGTGCCTCCATGTGGTCATTTTTTATTTTAAAGGGGCCTAGAACATCTATTGTGACCCATATGGTTTTACTGGACAACAAAAAAAAAATTCTATACAATGATATTTTCTATATTTATTTTTGTTGGGTTTGAGTTGGACTTGGTGATAGGAAAACGGGTTGTTGGAAGTTTAGAATATTTGGTCGATGTACCACTATAATATCACAATATTTATAATACCTACTTTATAGTTAATACACTTAATACACTTTGAACAATATTTATAAATTAAAAGATGGCTAGGGATACATAGTTTAGGAAAACTTTAGGATCATAATCCTTAGGGCATTTTAAATGATAAAATTAGGTATATATATATATATATTACTTGTTTTGTCTAAAATAAGTCGAAAATTATATTTTCCTTGAATCTTCATAAATATTGATTTTTTTGTGTGTAAAATAGAAAATTGTTTCATTTTCTAACTGCAATAATCCCGATTGCTGGTGTGATCTTACGGCTATCTAAAAGGTTTAAGTGTATGAAAATTATAACGCGATATAATATTTGTTAGGTTAAATTTTTAAATAATAATAATAATAATAATAATATTAAATTAGTCACTTTTCAATGTGTTAGAAAATATATCAAACTGCATGGTGTATACATGTATGAAATAAAATACCTATTACATGTAATTCTACTATTGTATGTGTCTAGTTGTAGCAATGGTATACTTTATAGTTCTATCTGGAAATTGTATGTAGCAAACCATATTCTGGATCCTTCAACAATTACTTTAAAACAGAGAAAATAAATAATGCATAAGTATAATTTATTACATGAAAAATCAGTTTTGGTTTAAATTAGACACATAAGAATTTATCAGTCGAACTTGGAGTAAAATTATCCCCACATTATTCAGTTGTAAAATAATGAACTATGTAAATGACATGGTACACATATCCAGCAATATTTTTCCCCAACGAATTTTTAGTTATAATCAACTTGATATATGTATTTATGTAATAGATAGTTCATATGTCTTCAAATACATACTTTAAAATTCAGATTTCTATATATGGGTCTGACCTCGAAATTTGATTTTTCATTTTCCAGCACCTCAACCGTGCTGAACTAAGAGTTTAAAACTGGTTAACTCTCCAATAACCAAAATTGAGTGATATAATGTAAAAATTGTTAACACTGGTTGAAACCAACATTAATGTTCATAGTTCTGATTTCGATTATTTTTCAATAGGTATTAAAGCTTTTGGTTTTGGTCATAGTTATGGTTTAAGTTTTTTAATGTTTTAAATTATTGAAACATAGTTTTAATGTCATAATTTAAAGCAGAATATTTTTTTAGAATTTTTTGAAATATAAGAATTTAATTTCAATCATGTAGTTAATTATAGCTTATATAAGTACCTATTTTAAGTTAAGGTGAATGGATTAATGAACATTCCAGGAATACTATGTTATTTTGCTCATTAAAACTTTGAATTTATATAAGATATAACCAGTTGACTATTCGTTCAAAATTTAATTTTTATATTTCAAAATACTCTGATAAAAATATTATGATAGAATTGTTTAAAATGTACAAAAATGTAAAAACTTAAAAATTGTTAAGTTTTAAAAAAAATATTTTTTTTTTTTTGACAACAATTTCGCAGTTTAATAAATATTATAATACTTAGGATAATTAATAATATGATATAAGTACATAGCTATATATTTATTTATTATTACTTGCTTTATTTAAAATTAAGTTGATTATTTTTCTTGTATCTTCATAGTAAATGTTGGTTTTGACGTGTGTAGGACAGAAATATGTTTCATTAACCAGCTTTCAGCACACCCAATTCCTGGTTCAATTTTGAGGTCATCTAAAAAGGTTTAAATGTGTGAAAATTAAAATGCAATATAATATTGGTTAATTTATATTTACATAGCCACTGTTAAATTTGGTTGATAATTCACATTCCATGGCATATACACGGATGTACTTTTTGGGTGTTCATGGTTCATACTCAACCAGAATTAAACGCTCCATAGCAAAAATGTGATTTCAATTTTTGACAAGAATTCATTTTAAAATATACGGTAATTGATATTCACTATGATGTATAAAAAAATTTTCAAATATTTTTATTAATTTAGCACTCATTAAATTATTTTGTTTTTGTCATTTTTACACTATCTAATATTATATTTTGACATAAAAAAATATTATTTCAAAGTTATTGTAACAGATATAAGAATACCATTAACTTATATTTGCATCAGTATATTTTAATGTTTATTATGGTTTTATACATATAATGTATTTAAAAAAACTTCCCTCTACTAAAAATTAAAATACAATATATATTCTCTGCATGGTCAATGTGGATTCCATGTGGATGTGTTGTGATGCTGTTCTGATGATGTCCCATTCATTTAATATTAAAATAGTGGATACCTCTTTGATGTACAGTAGATGTCAAATGGGTTACTGTAATGGGTACATTAAATTTAAATTAAATTATATTAAATTATTGTAAAGAATTATACAAAAAAAAACATTTCTGAATGAAGGCTATCATCCATACTACTATAAGTATATTTTAGGATATTGTTGCTGTTTAAGTAGTTTATTTTACTTGAGTGTCCGTTAAAGCCACTGGCGGTTAGAGTAATATTTAACCGACAGTCAGTTCTTACTAACTTTTATTACTGGTAGAATTCTGTTGTTAATCATTCGGCAAGAAACATATTAGACTAGCCGCCGGTTAGTGTTACTAGACAATTAACCAGACGTTGTAAGAACAGCCCTCAATCAATTGTAAATGCAAATAACTAAGTATCATGTTTACTGTTAATTAAATAATAAGTTAAGCTGAGATACCGCAAACACCATGTCTAAATAGTTAATATCACTTAATACAATAATTTGTAAAAAATATGATACTGGATAATCTTTGAAATGTATCTAGGATGTCATATTAGAAATGAAGATGGTAATAAAGTACAAACTGATAACAATATATCACTTTCTCACTTTCTTCATGATTAACGCGGTATATAGAGGAGTATAGAGGACTGTTAAGTGCTAATGTAGGAATACTGAAATGTTTGTTCAAAAAATATCCAAAAGAGCCAGGTAAAAATTATTTATGTTGGGAAAAACAATTATCTACAATAAGACAATGAGTACCTCATTATTTGGAGTTTGTAAGTTGGTGGTACGTCAATACGTCACTCACACTCGTACTGTCATTCATTACTGTTTTTACTTTTTAGCACGACTTCATAAACTGAATAAAATAATTAATAAAATAATAATTAATGCATCTCACAAAATTGTTTAGCCATAGCGGCGTACTGGCGTAGTAGGCTAGTAGCATGGTTTGTACTTTGTAGAAATTAGTTATGATAACGAAAACGGCACTCGGCAGGCTATGACCACTAGTACCAAAACTCGTATTATTATGATAAGCTGATGACTTGTTGTATCATGGTCGTTAGTCGTTACGACTTCACGAGTTTAAACAGCTTAGTGAAAATTTTATTACAATATAACCACAATTAGAATCCTGTAGTCTCCGAAACTACTGTACAGTTAAATCTAAACGTTTCGTGAATAAAGTTATTTTTTTATTTATGTTTTTATTGTTGTATAGTGTTCGGTGTATAGAATATTTCTCCGTTGTTTTAAATTTTGATAAGGAAACTCGTGAGTCGTGTTCATATAGTACAGTTATCTGTACTGCGAGTTTGTTGTGCGAATTGTTTAAGGATAAACGCCGGTATTTTAATTTGTGGATTTAATATCCTTGTTTTATTAATTTCCTGTACCGAAAATATAGGATTTAATATGTGTTCTTTGAGAGATTTTCCTGAACTACGGGATTGCAGTCTCACGGATAAGAACGCATCCATGGCATTAGTCATTAAAAGAGTGAAACCTGAGGTTGGTAATTTTTTTGAACAGTTTTGACTGTTTTAAGTGTTCTACAGTTTCTGATGACAGTTGATGTGGATTTTTTTTTAAATTCTATTGGTGTACCCATTGGTATAATTAAAAAAAAATGGAATCAGTTATTATTTATCCAGCTTACCTACACATGAAAAACATTAACCAATTTATATTTATAGGCAATTAATTACCCAAATATTGTAATCCAGTTGAAAGGAGATCAAAATCCTGAACCTTTATTTTTACCAACTTCAGGACTAACAACATTTCAACAAATTTTAAGTAAATTGTAAGTACATTTTTAAAATATTTAAGTATGTATTATAAGTATTTTATTAGCCATTTAAATAAGTAATTGAAAATAATATACATTTTTTCACATCTGATTTATTATGTTTGTACAGTTCGGAGGAAAACTTCTGGACTGCTTGTGATGAACTATCAAAATATTTTAAAAGAAATCCGTGTAACCTATCAGTTCTTATGTATCCATTAGGATTAATTATGAAATTTTCTCCTCGTGCAAGTTTGAAGGTAACATATTACATAAATACTTAACTTAATATCCACTAATACTGCAAGATTATCTTTAAAATGTTAACACATTTTTAAATTTATTTGATTTATTATCATTATTAATAAAATGAAAATAATAAATTCATATAATTAATTGACATAAATTTGCAAATAAGTGGCATCTAATGCTTCACTAGTTTAATAGGAACTTTCAGTGAAATAAATAGGTATGCAAGTATAAATGCATTTTTTCAACATAATTGCAATCATTGCCGAGTATAACATAAATATGCTCTTAATAATAAATATTTTAATGCAATAAATACATAATACCTACATTTTGGAATAAATACTTTTTTTTTACTTCAATAAAATTCTCGTTTCTTTGTTTTCAAATTTTTTTTAAAAAAAATGTGAAATGTAATAATTTTGTAACCAAAACATTAATTTAAGATTATTTTTTATCATTTCAGGGCTCTGAAAATTTGGTGCTGACAGATATAAGTAGAACAAAATTATGGTCATCAAGTGTAGTGCGTTGTATGGCATGGCATCCGCAGGTAACTAAACTTGCTATTGTTTCTTCCCATGACATTGTTTATGTGTACAATCGAAAAGGTTCTGAAGCAAAAATAAAAAGGAAATCTCAAAGTGCCATTTTATCATTAGCTTGGAGGTACTTATAATGCACATTTTTTGTTTATTACCATGTAATATTTAACTTTTCACATTTTAGGCCATTAAGTATTGGTACTTTAGCAGTGGGATGTGAAAAAGGAATTTTCATCTGGACGATTGAGTTTAGTAACATACATGTAAGACCAACTGTAAATAATGTTTGCAAATTTGTCAGAGATGATCATAGATATATTACTGGATTATCATGGAATAAAATGGTAACTTCTTTATAAACTCTAATATATACCATTAGGTAACCAACTATGTATTAATAAATATTTAATAATGTGTTTTGAATTGTCAAATTTTTTTGATGAATCAACAAATTAAAATTTATTTTCTGCATTAAATCATTTTTATAATTATTTTAAAGTTTATTCAAATTATGATCATTATAGTTATTATAGAAAAGTGATAGCTAAACATGAAATTTTATACTTTTTATTATTTATTCAGGGTGATCTTTTAATATCCAGTGCAGTGACATCTAAAACAATGTATATTTGGAATTATCCTTTAGAAACCTGTGTTCCATTGCGCAGCATTAGTTCTGATACTTTAAACTTTGTACATTGGTCGCCTGATAATACAAAAGTGTTTTCTTGTTCAACTAATGAAACATTTAGGTAATGCTGGTTAATTTTTTTATTTTTTTTTTGCTATTTAATTAATTTTTTTACAGAATTTGGTCCACTGATAACTGGACCTCAGATAAGTGGTCTTTGAATAACCGGTCTAGAGTGCAATGTGCATGTTGGTCACCTTGCAGTTTAGTTTTATTATTTGCAACTGATTCTTGTTCGGTTATAAATGCTATTGACTTCCGAAAATCAGATGTGTTCAATGGATCAAGGAATTACAAAAAAGTTGCATGGCCTATAATTGACATCAAAAGTGAATGTATAAATGATAAAGTGTAAGTGGTAAATTAATAAATTGTGTTATGTCTTATATAAACTTTAGAGTTTCGATAGTCTGGTGTACACGATAATCTGGACGGCATATGTGTATGTAATTTTTTCGGATTTCTAGAACTCAATTAAATTATGAAATAACCTTACCAACAATAACAATTTTGTCCATTTAGATAGAGAGCGCACTTTTAAATTTTAAATCAAAAATACTACCCTAAAAAAAAGTTGCTGATATTTTTGTTAGTAAACAGTTATATTTTATGATCATTTATTAAAACAATAATCACAAACATAATTTTTGAAATATAAGGTTTTCTTGAGTAGGTAAGACATAGATTTGCCAAAATAGTAATATATATAATTGGTGTACATTTAAACTATAAATGGTGTGGCTGCAGTAATCAAAATGTTAATGAGTTATTTCTTTAATACTGGTAATAACAGTATAACTAGTATAACAGTAACTATATAACAGTAATACTGTTATTACCAGTATTAAAGAAATAACTCATCAACATTTTGATTACTGCAGCCACACCATTTATAGTTTAAATGTACACCAATTATATATATTACTATTTTCCAGACATAATTATTTGATATGTTACAATTTTCAAAATATTTTGGTTATTTATAAACATTTGACATTTATTCTTGTACTTTTTTTAGTTTTTTTTTTAATTGTAACAATAACCTTTTTTCCTTGCTAAAAATCAAGTAATTTTAATACAATATGTATAACATTCTTCATACATTTTTGAAACAGTGTTTTAAAAAATACCTTAAAATACATATCTTGAACTATTTTTTTTTATGGATACTTGAAGCTCAATATTTGATAAAATTAGAAATTCAAACGAATTGTAACAATATTTCCTTTGACAATTAAAATTATTTTCTTGAAATTCAAAACATATTAATGTTTAAGACTTTTTGAAGGTTTGGTTAATCTAAAAAGTTTTCGGCATTATACCTATTATTGAATATTATTTTTTGCTAAATAATTAATTTTTCAAAATATTTAGATTTATTTTAACCTATTTATTCTGTTCTATTGTATGTTAGTATTGAATTATAAATTAATAATAATACTATGTGATGATATAATGTATACAATATTAGTTCAACATACCGCATTACTAATAGAAAAATAATATATATGAATGTAAATAAATTATAAAATGTTCTTAGAAATAGAGGTAGGTTACAACAGGGTGCATTGGTTTTCATATGCAATGATTTTTTTTTTATTCTGATACATAAGTTTAATAACTAAACAATCCTAGATAGGTAGATTTTATACAACAAATTATTGTATAAATTGTAAGTATATGTTATTTATTAAAAAAATTAAGTAATAGAGACATTATATTAGATCTCTGATACTTAATAATGTGGCTTAACTTTACTTCTTACAACTGTTTATTATTTAGAATTGGTGGAACACTTTCTGACATGTGCTGGGATCAAAACGCTCAACGTTTAGCTATAACTTTCAAAAATAGTGGATCTTTAGTTGTATTTCAAACTGCTATAAGTGATGCCGTTGTTGATTGTATTCCATTGTAAGCATCTAATCTTGGAGTTCTTAAAGTATTGTCAATAAATCTTTGACTATGTCGGTTTTAGTTGTATTATTCAAGGACGGCTTGACGAAGAACCTTCTGCAATTGCATTCCAACCAACTTATGAAAAGGGGTCTTTATTAACAATTGTACGTATAAACATAAAATATCACGTTTGAAGCCAACAATAATTTTTAAATTCATTCTTTTTTTAGGGTTGGTCTAACGGTAATATTGAATATGTACCATTTGAATACACTTCTAAGCCAAAACATGAACCTGAAATATTTGGAACAAATTTGTTTGGTGTAAACAACAATAAAAGTATATCTGGCCTACCTAGTATGTCAACTACTACTAATTCACTAATTGAATATTTGTTAAACTAATTAGAAATGTGTGGTTTCTTTTTCTTAATGTTTCTACAATTTTTGTAATTTTAATCTCAAGTTTAATAGTAAATTAACCATTATAACACAATTTCAATGCTGATAAAATATTTTAATTGTAACTATGCAAAAAAAAAAAAATATTTATATTGAAATTTATTTTAACGAAATCTATGTATCAATTTTATTTAATGAGATTATGCAAACCTATTCATTATCTTAAATAAGAATTAAAACTTAATATTCATTTCAAGACATACTGGTTAGGAAAAAATGTTTTACCTGTTTGTGTATATCTTTTAATACATTTGAAAATGTATTAAATTATTTTTTAATAAAAACATTTTACTTTCCCTTTAATAAAATTATTTATGTCAGATTTTGAATTATATTCTCAAGTTATTAATTGAGTTTTGTGATTTGAAAAAAAAAAGTTTTATATTTGAGACTATTATTCACAATAATATATAATTATTTTTAATCCTGGTATATTACTTTTTTTAAATTCCAATCCTTCAAATTGATCCATAAATTCCATACATCCATAAATATTGAATATTAAATCAATAGTTGCATATTTATAAGCATTCAATATTTAATACTATTAATTATTAGCTTAGTATAAATTATAATTTTTTATGAAAATATTGTTTTTAAGTTTATAAAGTTTAAAATATGATTTGTAATCAATGCCTAAAGCGGAATTGCATGGGACCAACAAAAAATTCCGCTTTAAGCAGTTTTCCGCTTTATTCAATAAACCGGATAAATACCGGATTATTCAATTCAAATAAATACCAAAGAATTTTTTTCAAATTATTGTTTTAAATAATGTAATTCATTAAAATTAAACTAAAATATAGGTTTTATAATCCATTAAATTTAAACTAAAATAAACTTTTAACCATTCTTCTTTAATTCTATTTTGATTTTTAAGAGTATCTGAGTTTTTCCACAGTTAAATATATTTTGTAATTGTTTTACCGAATGTCCTTTTGTACACATATTGATCAGTTGATATTTTTTATTTAATGAAAGACACTTATATTTTGGCATTTTTATATTTAATAGGAGATAAAATAAAATTAAAAGTGTACGTGCGACTGTTGGTGTAAGACTGTTTCACAGTTACAAAGAAGAAATGTCGTATCGTTTACGATGCGATAATACATAATAATTATGCGATAATGCGATAATGCATTGTACGTACAGTGTACATAATATATTGTACGAATATGTGCCTATAGAACAATTTTATCTTCTTTGTCTATTACTATTTAACGATGTACATGGTACACACCCATATCGGCATATCTATATCTCATACCTTATTTTTGGTTTAGATTTGACAGGCGCGTGTCATTTTTCCGTTCTAAAACTCCCTTTGTGGTTACTATTTTGAATTTGTTCAAAAACATATATTATACCCACAATTTGACATCCAGTACAATTCCTAAGGAATAATAATATATGTTTACTATAGATACATGACATTTTCACTGAATGTTTATGTGAACAAGTTGTTGTTAGTGGAAATTAAAACAAAAGTTGAGTGTTAATCCACTGTAATTTTTTATGAGCTTTTGAATTTGGGATTCATTACAAAATTCATAACAAACACGAAAATTAGCGAATTATTTTGAGTTAGAAATTGATAAAAAAATTTTCTTTTTATATCTAAAGTTTAAAATTTTAATACAAGATTCCATATAAGTCTAATAAAATTTGTATGAGCGTTTGAAGTTAAAATTTTTACTACATTGGTTATTCACTCGATTTCTCATGTAGCTTTTTTATTATTTCCTTGCAATTCGAAAATGTAGACACTTGAAATTTACACCATTTGTTTATTTCATCAATTCATATACTTGATAAAATTATAAAATATATTGACTTGTTTTAAGCCGTTGACAGACATTTTCAATTTTCATTTTTTTTTCTTTTAAGTCAATAATATTTTATTGGTTGGTTCAAAAAGCATGACAATTTATACAAGACTCTTGTTACAATAGCAGTTGAGAAATATTAATAATACATAGGCACGTTTTTGTTTTATTATCATTTTAAGTTCAAATTATGACAATATTTATGAAATTGAAAAATAATTTTGCAGTTAAAAATTTATAAAAATTTTCAATTTGCATAGCTAAGGATTGAAAATTGAAAACAACATTCTACGTAAGTAGTTAATTCTGTAACCAAAAAATCTAAAAATAAACAAAAACAGCTTTTTATAGTTATTCAAAGAATTTTTGACGATTTAGATGAAATTACATATTAACACAAAGAAAAACAATTTTAGTAATTTTGTTGTAATTAGGTTCCAAAACAGCCCAATTTCACATAAGTATGTATAATATTTTTTCAACATCAATGATTATTTAAGATTAATATTAATTTAACTTATGGCGACCGTATTAATAATATGTAATAACATTATAAAATAACCTAGGCTGACATACCGCATCTGTTTAGAATCGTTTTTCGTATACAATGATATGATATCATTAAATTCAAATTAAATACAATCCATTACAGCGAACTTCTAGACACCTTATGTACAGCAAAGCGACATCCACTTACCCTTTTTTTTAATACATATTTTTTACATAATTTTAAATTAAATGTTTTAGATTGAGTTTTAAGTGCATACCTATTTAAAAATAAATGCATATTTTGTAACTGCATTTTTAGAAGTCTATTTTGAGGACTTTTTGTGCATATAGTGTACCTCATTAGTTTTTATAAAACAACTTTTACAAGCTAGAAGCCACTCAGTAAATAGACAACTACATTATATTATATTATAAATACCTATTATGTGCTACCTTCTACGTTATACTGGATAACGGAAGCCTACGTCATCTCTGCAGTGCTATTTTTACTATCGCAAGACGAACGTCATATGTGGTTGAGTTGTAGAAGTGCGTCGGCGAAAACGATAGAAATCACAGAAAAATGATACTAGGTCACGGCGTACTGAATTATTCACATTTTGTAAAACTTTTGCACCGATGTCATTATTTATTGTATACACATAACAATAACATTGTTGGAAAGGTGATCATTTTTTCTATGATTTGTAGGAAACAGATTTCTGAAGATTGTATTAACAAATGAGCATTATGACTTAACAAACGAGTGTTTTATAAATTTAAATAGTACAGTTTTTAAAAAAAAATTACAATTTAAAATATCTGATTCCAATAAAACATAACAAAAATGATCAACTTTCAAACAGTGTATTACTTATTGGTCTACAATTATTAATGACTTCGTAGCACTTGAAGTACAAACACTCAATTTTGTACACAAATGGACAGATGTTGCGTCCTCTTTATGACGGTTGATATACATATCGATCCGAGGACCTTTTGATCTGTTATAGGGACATTTTGTTATACTGGAGACAATTCTATCTTTTTTGAGACATTTTACCTACCATACTTAGACATATTTACCAGAAAAAATAAATTCTCTAAACAGTGTAAAAAGCCCCCAAAGGGATGTAGTTGTCGTTTGTACATTTTGATATATTGTAGAGACTTTGTTGTCTACAAACGGGATTCTAAGTTCATTGCTTCTGTTTGTAAACAAAAGATTTACGTACTGTCCACTGGTCGAAAAGAGGACATTTTTGTAAGCTTCATTACGCCATCTATAATTCAGCTTTCGTTGGAATTATGACAAAAATATCATTTAAAAATAATCAAGATCACCTAAAACAAAATTTCCACTTATGGACTTACGTTGTAAGACGCAAGCAAAAAATTCGGTGACTTTTAATTTTTGAAACAGAATTTTTAATAATTGTTTTTAGTTTTTGAGTTATGATAATATTGAAATGGTTTGTTATACGTATTATATTAAATTATTGAACACATATCAAAATATAGCAAGTGTAGCTTTATTTATTATTTTTTGATATTAGAACAAACAAATATTATAACAATACATTAATTAACCATTCACATTCACAATTTCAAAGCTATGCAAAACAACGGATAAGTTGCTCATATCATCACAAGATAATTTATGATAACACTGTTAAAATTAAACACAGTATTTCCAACAGGTTCATTAAGATTTAAGAATGTTAATTTAAATTTAAATAATCAAACGTCGAACTGGGTTATCTAGTAATATAATTGCTGAAAGATTTTAAATTAATACGTTTGAGTAAGACATTATACATTTCTATGGAAGTTTAAATTATATTGTATTTATAGTCAATTGTAGTTTTGTATTACAATACATAATAATATAACATTAGAATTTATAATTATTTCTAACTCTACATTTCTTTTTTTATATAAAAAAAAATATTAAAATTTGTATAAAATATATTTTAAATACATAAGGGTCATTTTGAGAAAGTAATAACTTAACATTACTATAAAATGATTATTAACTATATATCATGAGAAAAAAAAATAACTTGTTAAGTTGGTAGTTATTTAAAAAAGGGTAGGTAACTAAGTTAAAAGTAAATCAAGTTAAATTTTTTAACTTAATAATGCCCAGCCTTGGTAGTAGTATAGTACAGTATGTTATTATGGTATGGCATAAAAGTCATATAGCATAATATGGTACACAAAAAACATATAATTACAAGTAAAATATTATCACTATAAATTAAATAATTAAGTAGGCAAGAATACAAAATTAAATCATTCAATTTAAATAATGAGACTAAAATTTTAGTTTTTATACTAAGTATTATCAAACATCATAAATAATTCAGCATATTATAATATGATACACAATATAAAATTAAAAAAAAAATAACCAATATTAATTACTTACAAACCATAATAAACTCTTTCAATAAGTAGGCAAGAATAAATAGTTAATGAGATTCAATATAATAAAAAGTAGGAGATTGGTTATTTAAATTGAGATACATAATAAAACTATAAGCTACATCACACAGAATCAATCATCGAATATTTAATTACAAATATAATCCATTTCCACACATTTTTTTTAACACAGATAGAAAAAAATTGTACATCAATCATTTTTTACAGTAAGGGAATTAATCATTAATTATGATTTAAATTTAAAGCTCCATCTTAATATTTGTCAAATACAGTTCAGGTTCAGGTTCAGGTTCAGGTTCAGGTTCAGGTTCAGATTCACATTCACAAGCTATTTTGTTAGGACTGTTGGGAGTACTTATCACTGCATCCATATTGGGACGGACTTCTACTGAGTTCAAAAATTTGCTATAATTCTAGAAAGTAAAAAATATATTTTCAATACGATTAGTAAAATATTTAATATTTCTAAAAACATC